AACTTAAAAGCGCCTAAATAAAGCAGAAACTAACAGAGCAAAAAGAAGAAAGAAGCAATACAAAATAGTTGGAGATTTTAATACCCCACTCTCAACAATGAATAGATGATCCAGACAATCAATAAGGAAACAGCAGATTTGATCAACACTATAGACCAAATTGGACCTCACAGACATATACAGAACATTCTGTCTGACAGCAGCAGAACAGACATTATTCTTAAGCAAACATGGAACATTTTCTTTTTTTAAAATTTCTTTAAATGTTTTATTTCTGAGAAAGAGACAGACAGCATGAGCAGGGGAGGGTCAGAGAGAGAGGGAGATACAGAATCTGAAACAGGCTCCAGGCTCTGAGATAGCTGTCAGCACTGAGCCTGATGTGGGGCTCGAACCCACGAACTGTGAGATCATGACCTGAGCTGAAGTTGGACACTTAACCGACTGAGCCACCCAGGTGCCCCAACGTGGAACATTTTCTAGCACTGACCATATGTTAGGCCACAAAACAAGTCCTAGCAAATTTAAGATTAAAATCATAACCAGTATCTTCTCTGACCACAGTGGTATGAAACTTAGTAACAGGAGGAAAACTAGAAAATTCACAAACGTGGAAATAAACATTCTCCTGAACAACCAATGGATCAAAAAATAAAGGAGAAAATTTAAAGTATCTTGAGATAGTTGAAAAAAGAAACACAATATACCAAAACTTGCAGGATGCAGCAAAAAGAGTTCGAAGAAAGAAGTTTATAGTAATAAACACCTACATTAAAAAACAAGAAATAATTCAAATAAACTAACTGAACTCTGCCTTAGGAAACTAGAATAAGAAACTAGATCCAAAATTAGAAGGACAGAAATAATAAATATTACAGAACTACATAAAATAGAGAACAGGAAACAATAGAAAATATTAACGAAACTATGAGTTGGTTGTTTGAAAAAGTAAACAAAATTGACAAATCTTTAGCTAGGCTAGCCAAGGAAAAAAGAGAGGACCCATATCAACAAAATTATAAGTGAAAACAAACATTACAACTAATACGACAGAAATATAAAGATCGTAAGAGGCTACTATGAACAATTATACACCAACAGACTGGACAAACTAGAAGAAATTGAGAAATTCTTTTTTTAATAATTTTTTTTGTAATCTTTATTTTTGAGAGAGAGACGGAGTGCAAGTGGGGGAGGAACAGAGAGAGAGGAAGACACAGAATCTGAAGCAGGCTCCAGGCTCTGAGCTGTCAGCACAGAGCCTGACGCAAGGCTCAAACTCACAAGTGGTGCAATCGTGACCTGAGTTGAAGTCGGACAATTAACCAACTAAGCCACTCAGCTGCCCCCCCTAAAAATTCTTAGGAACATAACAACCTACCAACACTGAATTCAAGAAGAAATAGAAAATCTGAACAGACCGAATACTAGCAAGTTTGATTAGTAACCAAGTCTCCCAGCAAAGGAAAGCCCAAGACCAGATAGCTTCACTGTTGAACTTTGACAAACATTTGAAAAACAATTAATGCCAGTCCTTCTCAAACTCTTCCCAAAAACTGAAGATGAGGGAACATTCCCAAACTCATTTTATGAAGTCAGCATTAAACTGATGTCAACGCCAGAAAAGGACACCACCAGAAAAGAAAACTACAGGTCCATATCCCTGAAGAATATAGGTGCGAAAATATTCAACAGAATACTAGCACACTGATTTCAGCACATTAAAAGGATCATTCACCATGGTCAACTAGGATTTATCCCTGGGATTGAAGGATGGTTCAACATATGCAAACCAGTCAATGTGATACATCACATCGAAAGAAAGAAAAAAATTATCTGATCATCTCTGTAAACACAGAAAAAGCATTGGACAAAATTCTACATCCATTCATGATAAAAACTCTTAATGTTTACTTATTTTTGAGAATGAGAGAGACACAGAGTGTGAGTGGGGAGGGACAGAGAGAGAGACACAGATTCGGAAGCAGGCTCCAGGCTCTGAGCTGTGAACACAAAGCCCGATACAGGGCTTGAACTCATGAACGATGACATTGTGACCTAAGCCGAAATAGGATGCTTAACTGACTGAGCCACCCAGCCACCCCCATGATAAAAACTCTTAACAAGTTAAATACAGAAGGAGTGTACCTCAATATATATTACAAGCTGTCAATTAACATCATATTCAAGGGTGAAAGATTGACAAGTTTTCCTCTAATATCAGGAACAAGAGAAGGATGCACATTCTCACCATTTTTATTCAACATAATACTGAAAGGTACTAGCCAGAGCAATTAGGCAAAAAAAAAAAAAAAAAAGAAAAAAAAGAAAAAGAAATTTAAAGTATTCCAATAGGTAACAAAGAGGTAAAATTGTCTCTATTTGCAGATGACATGATTCTATACATAGAAAATCCTAAATACTCCACCAGAAACCTAATAGGCCTCATCAATGAATCCAGGAAAGTTGCAGGATATAAAATTAACATACAAAAATCAATAGGGTTTCTATACGCTAACAATGAATTCAGGAAAAGAATTAAAGAAAATGATCCCATTTACAATATGATCAAAAACAGTAAAATACTTAGTAATAAATTTAGCCAAGAGTTGAAAGATCTCTGAGTACTTCAAGACTGATGAAGGAAGCTGAAGAAGACAAAAATAAATAGAAAGGTATCCCACATCCATGGACTGTAAAAACTAGTACTGTTAAGATGTCAATACTACCAAAAGTCATCTATAGATTCAATGCCCTCCCTGTCAAGATTCCAACGGCATTTTTAAAAGCAGCAGAAAAAAATAGCTCTAAAAATACTTTTTTTTAATGTTCATTTATTATTTTGAGAGAGCACGAGTAGGGGAGAGCAGAGAGAGAGAGAGAGATGGAGACAGAGAATCTGAAGCAAGCTCCAGGCTCTGAGCTGTCAGCACAAAGCCCAACTGGGGCTCAAACCCACGGACCCCAATTAGCTATAAAATGTATATGGAACCACAAGAGAAGCCAAAGCAGTCCTGAGAAAGAGGAACTAAGCAGGGGGCATCACACTTCCTGATTTGAAGCTATGCTATACAGTATAGTAATCCTAACAGTATGGTACTGGCATAAAAACAGACACACAGACCAAGGGAACAGAATCAAGAGCCTAGAAATAAACCAGTATGTAGAGTCAGTATTTGACAAGGAAGCTAAGAATGTTCGATGGAGAGAAGATAGTCTCTCCAATAAATGGTGTTGGGAAAATAGGACATATAAAAGAAGGAAACTAAATTTTTAAAAATTGTTTAAAAATGTAAATGTAAGATTGGAAACCATAAAGCTGCTAGAAGAAAACATAGAGAAAAAAGTTCCTTGACATGGGTCTTGGCAAGGACTTCTTGGATACGATGCCTAAAGTACAAGTAACGTAACGAGAAACAGAAACCAGGATGACATGGAACTAAACTAATGCAGAGCAAAAGAAATGAACAAAATGAAAAGGCAACCTATAGAATAGGAAAAAATATATATTTGCAAACCATATATCTGATAAAGGCTTTGAATCCAAAATATATAAACAACTCCTACAACTCAATAGAAAATAGGCAAAGCATCTGAATAGACCTTTTTTTTAAAGAGGATATAGGAGTGGCCAATGGCCAGCATCACTCATCATCAGGGAAATGAAAATCAAAACCATGGTGAGAAGTCACCTTGTACCTGTTAGAATAGCGCCTTGAAAAGACAAGAGGTGGGGCGCCTGGGTGGCTCCGTTGGTTAAGCGTCCGGCTTCGGCTCAGGACATGATCTCACGGTTCATGGGTTTGAGCCCCGTGTCGGGCTCTGTGCTGACAGCTCGGAGCCTGGAGTCTGCTTCGGATTCTGTGTCTCCCTCTCTCTCTGACCCTCCCCTGCTCACGCTGTCTCTCTCTCTCTCTCTCTCTCTCTCAGAAATGAATAAAATATTAAAAAAAAAAAAGAAAAAGAAAAGTGGCAACACATGCTGGCGAGGATGGGGAGAAAAGGGAACCCTCATGCACTATTGGCAGGGATGTAAATTGGTGCAGTCACTCTGGGAAACAGTATGGAGGTTCCTCATAAAATTCAAAACAGAAGTACCATATAACCGAGCAATCCTACCCCTGGCAGAATATCTGAAGGAAACAAAAGCACCCTGTGGGAGAGATGTAGGTGCCCCCATGTTCACTGCAGCCTCATTCACAATAGCCAAGACATGGAAACAACCCAAGTGTCCCGTGAAAAATGGATAAAGTTGTGGTAATATACAGAATGGAAATTTATTCATTCATTAAAAAGGAGGAAACCTTGCCATTTGTAACAACATGGATGGGCCTCGAGGGCATTAAGCTCAGTGAAATAAGCCAGCCATAGAAAGACAAATACTGTATGACCTTACTTATATGTAGAATTAGAAACAAAACAAAAAACTCATCGAAAAAGAGACCAGTGGTTACCGGAGGTGGGGGATGGGGGGAGGATTGGATGAAGGTGGTCAAATGTGGTCAACTTCCACTTGTAAGGTAAGGACTAGGATGTGATAGATACATCATAACTATAGTTAGCACTGCTTTATGATACAGGAAAAAATTGTTAAAAAAGTAGATCCCAAGAATTCTCATCACAAGGAAAAACATTTTTTTCTTTTTTGAGTTATCTATCTGAAGTGACGGATGTTAATAAAACATACTGTGGCGATCATTTCACAATATACGTATGTCAAATCATTATGCTGTACACCTGAAACTTCAGAACTGTTGTAAATCACAATCTCAGGCAAACTGGAAAAAAAATACAAAGGCAAACACAAAAACCTCGACAAGATCAGGCCTTGAAAGTAAACTCTGTCACAGGGGTGTCAGGACCGGAAGTGGCCCTGACAGCCTAGTTATATTAAAAAAAAACAAAAAACAAAAATAAACCACTTGGATGTTTTTGCAAACTTTCTATCATTTACAAGCAACAGTTCGCAAACATTAGAGTTCAATAATGAAACTACTCACCATTTTGAGATAAAAAAAAGGTGAGTCCTTTTCCTGGAGATTTAAAATTCAATTTGGAAATTCTTTCATCACTCAGAGACATCCTGATCTTGTGCTTTAACATTAAAAAAAATCACAAAAGCAAAATATGACTTCTGCATCATTATGGACCCAAACTAAATCTCTACATTAGAAGTAATTAGAAAGTTATTAATGAGGCCATTCTTTTTAAGCTAACAAGACTATTTCTGGGGCGGCTGGGCAGCTCAGTCGGTTAAGGGTCTGACTTTCAGTTTCGGCTCAGGTCATGATCTCGTGGTTTCATGAATTCGAGCCCCATATCAAGCTGTGCACTGATGGTGCAGAACATTTTTGGGATTCTCTCTCCCCAACTCCTCCCCCTACTCACGCTCTGTCTCTCTCAAAATAAGTAAATAAACTTTAAAAAAGAGACTATTTCTATATTTAACCTGCATAAAATTTTGCTATTGATACAATTAAGGATACGAATAAGATTTATTGTATCCACTAAAAGGTTCTTCCCAAGAAACCAAAGACTTCAAAGTCTTCCCTGGCTCTGTTGGAAAGAGGTTTACTATCCACAGTTAACTGTACCTACATTCCGATATTAAAAGCGTTAGTTACTATATATATACACACACACACACACACACACATATATATATGCTGTTCACACCGATATGTCTGTCTTCACATAGATCTGGCCCTTGAACTCCAGACTTGTGTCTCCATCTGTGCCAACTGGAGGTCTGATCAGGCACCTTTAGCCTAACGTGTCCAAAACCAGCTCCCTAATTTTTTCCCCAAACTCATGTCCCCTGCCCCAGCCTTGCCCTTCACAGTAAAGGGCAACTGCATCTTCCAAAAACCTTAGAATCATCTTGTCTTTCCTCCTCTCCTTCTCAGACTCCACAGCCTTCAACAACACGGCACCTAACTCCAAAAGCTTCCTTACTGGCTTGTCAACAGTGAAGCCATAGAGAGGCTACTGACCCTCTGCTCTGGGGCCCTCCCATCTCCCTCAGAACGAAAGCCAGGTCCTCACGATGGCCAGTGCCCTCCTGGTCTGGCCCCGCTGCATCGCTGAGCTCATGCCTGGTGCGGCTGCACTTGGTGCTGCACTTTCCTTTTAACAGCCCAAATATGCTCCCACCTCGGGGCCTCTGCCCAGACCAGTCTTCCTCCAGGTAATCACAGGCTTAGCTTCCTTACTTCCTTGGTGCATGCTCAGATTGCTTCATCAGAAGACCTGTCACCACCTCTCCTTGTCACTCAGTCTCCACAGTCTGCCTTGCTCTCCACCACATCACTCATATCTCATGTGAGGAAGTGTAGTGCTGTGGTCCTGGAGTCGGACCACAAATTCTGGAGTCAGACTGCCTGCATATAGACCCCCAGCTGCACTACCTACTGGCTCCATGGCTGCTGACAGGTTACCTAACCTTTTAGCACCTGGGTTCCCTCCTAGAGATAGTAACCGTACCCAAAGGTGGCTGGGGGTATTAAAAGAGCTCAGACTGGGAAGTGCACGTACCTGGTAAACACCCCAGGAGCCTTGGCCATTACTACCGCTCACTTGTCTCCCTCCCCTCGCTGGAATGGGAAGTCCATGAGAGCTCAGGCTCTCACTTCCCGGCAGATCGCCAGTGCACAGAAGAGTGCTCAGCACACAGTACATGCGCAAAACTCATTGATACTGCAAGCAGGTAACCGTTGTTATGTGTCTGGTTGTAAATACAAAACTTTGGGGTGTTTCTGGGGGCACCTGGGGGGCTCAGTCTGTTAAGCATCCAATTTTGGCTCAGGTCACAATCCCATAGTTCGTGGGTTCAAGCCCTGCATCGGGCTCTGTGCTGACAGCTCAAAGCCTGGAGCTTGGTTCAGATTCTGTGTTTCCCTCTCTCTCTGCTCCTCTCCTACTTGTTCTTGTTCTCTCTCTCTCTCTCTCCAAAATAAACAAACACTTAACATTTAAAAAAATACAAACCTCTGATCTCCTCGTTTTGCTAAGATCAAGCATGGGTCCTAGCTTGCTTGAAGAGGACTTGGTGCTGCCGTCCTGCAGATCAGATTCCTGGCTTGTTCCTATACTCGAACTCCTGCGCTGGGTGTTCTGAGCAAGGACAAACACGTAAGCGGACTCTGGCTTCCTTGGAGGCACACACGCGATTTTACTGAAGTATAATTTACTACTTGATGATTTTTGACCTACCACCTGTGAAACGATCCCCTCAACCAACACATCCATCACCATCAAGTTTCCTGTGCCCCTTAGGAATCCAACCCCTCTTCCCTCATCCTTGCTGATCTGCTGTCACTACAGTTGACTCTGCATCTTCTAGAATTTTATATAATTGGAATCACAACAGGATGTATCTTTTTTTGGTTTGGCCTCTTTCACCCAGCGTAACTTTGATTCATCCTTGTTGTATTCTCTATCATGGGTTATTTCATTGCAGAGTCATACTCCATTGTATGGACAAAGGAGGATTTAGCTTGTTGGACATTTGGAGTGACATAAGTGATCAGAAGTGAACGTGATCAGAGGGTTTCTGAGGACAATTCCTAGACCAGCATTCACACTCGTTCACTGGAGTGCATATGACGCCATCCATGAAATCATGGACAAAACTAAGGTGGAGCTTTGCTTCCCTCAGAGCAGAGCCCCAGACCCTGACTGTGGCCATGGCAAGGCTCCCAGATGACCTGGAGATGCCATCAGTCATATCCTCGAGCTGGGGGAGGAATATCTACTTGGTGGGGGCCCTGTGAAGTTGAACATGAAGCAAACTCTCAGCACACGAGGAGTCTGAGATATGTCAGGGGATTTTTGAGATGCATCACCCTTCACATGACAAAAAATGATCTTATATGCACGGCTCTAGAGAGTTCCCCAGCTGTGAGGTTCCACTGGCCCCCAAGATTCTTCCTGTGGGTCCAAATGGATGGCTAGAAAATCAGAAACCCTCTAAGCCTACTTGGCCATAACCCCCCACCCAAAACCAGTTTGTGTCAAACTGCCCCAGTGGCTGGGCCGTTCGGTAGGCGGCTAGTGCTGCCCTGCTCCACTGAGGTCTTGGCAGTGGAGTCTCATGTCCAGTAGGCCTGTTGTGTGAGCCGACCCCATCCTAAGGGACCCATCTAGCATCTTGTGCATACTCAGGAGATATTTCTTAGCGACTTCACTCTGAGAGTGGCTCTCCACTCTTGTAAATGCTAGATTGTATAACGACACATTTCATAACAAAATGTGTCAGGTGTTCTAAGCCTAGTGCTCTGCCTGGTGTTTTGTTGGGCACCCTGAGTTTCTTTCAGGAGATCTCCGCTAATGTGACTTTTCAGGAGATCTCTGCTAATGCAGCTAAAAGCCTATGCCCCTGGGTCATGACCAGGGAACACGTTTTCCCTAATTTAAAGAAAAAGGCAATATACACTCTCAAAATGTGAAAGGGGGTCTTAAGCTTTTTCTTAAGCCTTAAGTTACTTCCTGAAGGGTTACAAAAGCCCAAGATAGTTTTGATGAAGGTTTACCCATTCCAGAATGAAACCACTCCTTGCACTGTAAATTCTAAACTACTATTACCTGATCGGGGCTTCTGTGTTGGTCTCCAGGCAAGTCATCATTTAGAAAATTTAAATAGGATTTAGTCATTTGGTCAGTAACAGAGATGAGTGTGAAGCTTAAGAGAGCTTCAAAGAATTCCAGGAAGACCAGCTGAAATACAAAAAAATACAAAGGGTCTCACTCATGTGACACACCCTGAGGTGGACCAGTGATAAATCTGGCTGTTGGTTTCTGTCTCCAAAGAAAGCTGCCTTGGTCAGCACTCAAGTGTTGTGGGTGCACACTGATTGGAAATAAGAACTATGATATTTAAAAGACTATGTGTGGGGGCATCTAGGTGGCTCAGTAGGTTAAGTTTCCAACTTTGGCTCAGGTCATGATCTCCCTGTTCGTGGGTTCGAGACCCGCACTAGGCTCTGTGCTGACAGCTCAGAGCCTGAAGCCTGCTTCAGATTCTGTGTTTCCCTTTCTGCCCCCCTCCTGCTTGTGGTCTGTCTCTGTCTCTCAAAAATAAATAAAAAACATTTAGTGGCGCCTGGGTGGCTCAGTCAGTTGGGCATCTGACTTCAGCTCAGGTCATGATCTTGCAGTTCACGAATTTGAGACCTGCGTCAGGCTCTGTGCTGACAGCTCAGCGCCTCAGACACAGATTCTGTGTCTCCCCCCTCAGAAATAAATATTTAAAACTTTTTTTTAAATAAACATTTAAAAAAATTAAATCATATTAAAAATTATATTATTTTTATATTATATTATTTAATATAATTATTTTAATAAAATTTTTATATTATATTATTTAATATTATTAAAAATTATATTAAAAAATAAGACTATGTGAGTTCTATCTTATTTGTTAAGTCACTTTTCTATGTTGTTGGAAATCTTTTATTTTATATTCACTAATCGAGGACAGTCCTTTTTAAAAATTTTTTTAAACGTTTATTCATTTTTGAGAGACAGAGAGAGACACCATATGAGTGGGGCAGGGGTAGAGAGGGAGACACAGAATCTGAAGCAGTCTTCAAACTCTGAGCTAACTGTCATCACAGAGCCTGACTCAGGGCTCGAACCCATGAACCGTGAGATCATGACCTGAGCTGAAGTCGGATGCTTAACTGACTGAGCTACCCAGGCGCCCCAACTCTAGTTTTCTAATACAATCCAGCAGATATAGCTACATAGACACACACCGATATACATACATATATGCATACGTGCACATGCGTAGAGACCTATGCATATTTATGTACTGGGGTTAGAATGCCTTTCAGTCAGATCTTGGTTCTTGGATTGTATCTGCACTATTTGTGACATCTCTTGACAAACCTCAAGTTCAAAGTTGCTGTCGATGCCATCATGCATGAAAGGATTATCCTCTGCGATGACTTCCACAAATTTGGTTGGTGTTAATTCCTTATTTATCATTTTAAAGTCCTGTAAAAGAAACAACCAAATAAACTCTAATAGCGTGTAATTACAGATAGCTACGTATTTTTAATGTCAATTTGTATCCATGTAACACTTTCAGAAGGTGTTCTAGAAATGAGTATCTTTGAAACCGATCCTTTTGAAAAGCATTCTAGATTACCATTGATATTTACCTCTCCAGACCTTCCCTAATCCTTCTGCAAGAAAAGTATTTTTAGAAGCATCAACACAGGAGCGCCTGGGTAGCTCAGTCAGTTAAGCATTTCACTCTTGATCTTGGCTCAGGTCATGATCTCACTGTTTGAGGGCTCAAACCCCAGGCTGACAGCACAGAGCCTGCTTGGTATTCTCTCTCTCTCTCCTTCTCTCTCTGTCCCTCCCCACTCTTTCTCTCAAAATAAATTTAAAAAAAGAGAGAGAAAATGTTGTTCTTTGACAAAAAGGAGGAGGCGGAGGAGGAGGCAGAGGCGGAGGAGGAGGCAGAGGAAGAAGAAGGAAGAAGAAGGAAGAGGAAGGAAGAGGAAGGAAGAGGAAGGAAGAGGAAGGGGAAGAGGAAGAAAGAGGAAGAGGAAGGGGAAGGGGAAGGGGAAGGGGAAGAGGAAGGGGAAGGGGAAGAGGAAGGGGAAGAGGAAGGGGAAGAGGAAGGGGAAGAGGAAGAGGAAGGGGAAGAGGAAGGGGAAGGGGAAGAGGAAGGGGAAGAGGAAGGGGAAGAGGAAGGGGAAGAGGAAGAAGAAGAGGAAGAAGAAGAGGAAGAAGAAGAGGAAGAAGAAGAGGAAGAAGAAGAGGAAGAAGAGGAAGAAGAAGAAGAAGAAGAAGAAGAAGAAGAAGAAGAAGAAGAAGGGTAACTGGGTGGCCCAGTTGGTTAAGTGTCTGACTCTTGGTTTCGGCTCAGGTCGTGATCTCATGGTTTGTGAGTTTGAGCCCCGTGTCAGGCTCTGTGCTGACAGTGTGGAGCCTGCTACAGTGCAAGGTCTGCTTAGAATTCTCTCTCCCTCGGGGCGCCTGGGTGGCTTAGTCGGTTAAGTGTCCGACTTTCGCTTAGGCCATGATCTTGCGGTTCATGGGTTCGAGCCCTGCGGTCGGGCTCTGTGCTGACTGCCAGCTCAGA